AAGGGCGAGCAGGGCCCGGCGGGGCCGGGCCTGAGGGGCTGCGGGCCCCGGGGCCTCCCCATCCCTCCCCATCCCTCCTCAACCCTCCCCATCCCTCCCCATCCCTCCCCATCCCTCCCCATCCCTCCTCATCCCTCCTCATCCCTCCTCATCCCTCCCCATCCCTCCCCACCTGCCGTGTGGCTGCACCCCTGGGTGCTGCAAGGTCGTGTTTTCAGACGAAATCTACCCATAGCTTGAGGTCAGATTTCCATGGGTACCTCGTAGTAACAGCAGCTCTTTGTGCAGGGAGCCTGGTTCAGCGCTGCCGCTTCAGGTGAGCTAACACCACCTCTTTCCTGTCAGGGAACCCATCCTTTTTATCAAGAGAAGCTCATTCTTCAGTTGTGGGACGCTTAGCGTGTTTTCTGTCACACATTAAGTCCCTGAGGTATTTTATCCCCATGCTGCATTTGGACTGACTTGCTAAGGTCTCAGCTTGGCTGAGATCTTTAGGAGAGAGGTCTTGTCTGCTTTCATGTTTGATTAAGTGCAGCAAACGCTGTTTGCAGCTCAAGTGATCTTGTTTTTCATGAACGAGAGAGCTCTGTGTGCTGCAACTAGGCCTGTAATATAAAGAACGTTTGGTCAGAATAGTGAGCTAGATCCACAGTGTTGCAGGTGAGTAAATAAATACATTGTTGTGGTGGAGTGTAAAGCCCAGTGAAATAAACAGGTCTGCCTACATGTTCAAATGTTCTAAGATTCAGTCATTCGCTGCTTTTTGCAGAGAGTGGGATGCTCAGTGCTGGCCCTTTTCATCTTCATCTAGCTTGCTACAAGAAATTCAAATAATATGCAAGTGATAAAGTGATTTCTTTGTTTTCCATCCATATAAACTAGTAGTGGTCAAAGACGTGTGCAAATGTGCATGGAAGAGGCAATTATCCATGCTTCTGGAAGTGGGAATCAGCTCAATACCAATGAGGCTTTGGCTGCCAACAGTATGGAAGGAGGAAAGTGTAATTAAGAAAGTGTATGCCATTTAGATCAGCAAAAATCTGCAATGTATACTAAACCTCTCCAACCCAAAGAGTCACCTTTCATTGATTGCTCTCTTGTGTTCTTCTCAGGAAAGAATTGTTCCAAGCAACCTAGTGAGCACCCAAGCTGAGTAAGATCAGTTTCTGGAGGGATCTAAAAGGTAGGCTGACATTTTTCATACTCTGGGTTATAAATGATGATGAAACAGGGTTGGTAGAAACATTACTTTTTCTTGAAAGTTCTAATCAAGATACACAGAGAATAACACAGAGTAACTAAGAATAATGCAGTTATTCTCACACAGTTATTCCTCTCAGTTCCCACTAAATAACTCCCTGGCAGCTTGATACTTCATTATTTATCATTGTCCATTTTTTTTATGGCAACAGTTGACATTAGATTATTACTGACCTGGTTGGTATTTGAATTTATTCCCTAGAGTTTAAAGACTTTGTAGTTCCATGTTCTCAGTCCTTTTTAAAATTCATAATTTTAGAGCATGGAAAATATATTGTTCTATCAAGTTTATTTCTCTGACATTTATTCAGTGGAGAGTGTGATCCTAATATTAAAGGCTTTTGATTTGAAGCCCAGGATACAGATAATTCTTTTTTACTGGTCTTCACTAAAACAGGTCATTTTATCACTGTGGTTACCCTTGTTGGTGTCCAGGAAGTTAATACTCCAGCTCGTCTCTTTATCATATGTTATATTAAATTTAAGCACAATTGTTGAATTCCTTTGTGTGGGTAAATGCTTTTTGATGTCTCCTTCCATTAAAGTTGTTGTATCCCTTTTAACCAAAGGGCTGCATGAGAATTCATACTTGCTAGGTATGTTTCTCAAGATAATCTCATTGATGTTGCCAGCAGAACTAATTGGGCTGTCACAATGAGATTCAGCACCCACCTGGAGAATTATGGTGTGAGGCCAGTGGAACTAGGCATCTTCTAATAGTGGAGAAAGTTAATGGGACTCATTAATGAAATGCTCATAAGTGTTACTCCATGAGAAGGCACGTAGTTTGAGACTTGGCTTTTTTAAGCTCTGGATGTTTAAAGGACAAATGCAAGAGCTCTTACAACATTTCAAAGCATTTGTTGAAAGTTCGAGATACAATGAAATTTTTCTTCCTTATCAGTGAAGGCATTTGGAAGTACTGCCAAATAGCACCTGGATGCCATAAATCATCAGTGAGAGTGGATGGTTTGAAAATATTACAAAGGAAAGGCTCCAGGGCATGAAGGATCTCAGGAAGTCATTGTTTAGGGGCTGCTGTATTTAAACCAGTCATTTCAGTTGCCATTAATTCACATCTCTAATTAAGAAATTGATTGATCTTTCCTTAAAGTTGCTGGAGTCTGGCTGGTGTCCATGGCAGATCAGAGATGTGCATACAAAGGAAGTGTTACAAGAGCCCACTGAGTTTCAGACAGAAATCCAGTCCTGATTTCAGAAAGTACTTCTGTTGGCTGATCCCAAACCTGGGATTCAATCGGATGGGACTGAATCTCTAAATTATGTCTTTCACAATAGTCCTGATCTTTTATGCCTGGGTAGATTCAGTGCTGCTTTTAACAGCCACTTGAGTGTAAGAAAGTTTGAATGCACGAGTGTCTTGCTTTCAGAGACACACAGAGTGTTATTTTTTAACTTGTTCTGCATCCTTGTGCACGTGTTTGCATCAGTTGATTGTAATTTTTCTCCTTGCAGAGTTATTGTAGGTGTCTTCAAGGAGGTGAGTTAAATAATTGGTATTCAGGACCATCATTGTGCTGCTGAGGAATAATGTGTTCCCTTAGATGGACAGGCTGGGGTTTTATCCCTCAGCATTACATTAATTCATATGAAAGAGGAGAACTCAGAAACCCATAGAGGAAATGTCTGAGATTTTCTTCATTTCCTTCTCCCCTTTTATTATTTTTGCTTAATGATTTCCCTGTGGACCATTCTGATGGATTCCCAGCATGTTGCTGTGAGGAGAGTTTTTTGGAGGGAAAGGCAAAGTCATCATACACTTTTGACAGATCAGAACTAGACTTATTGATCAGTTTTCTTTGGTAATATGTTGCCTCTTTTGGGAATCATCCAGAATTTACTTCAAACCGATGAGTCGTTTTGATAGTTGAGAAAATGCCTTAATTTAGAAATGGCAGCTTTCCATATTGACACTGTTTAACCCATCATACATCCATCTGTTGTAAAAACACAGTATTTATTTGTTCTTCAGCTGGCTCATATGATTCTAGTCGTTGTGCTATTGAAGTGTCCTACACATGCTGTAAGTCATATTAGCAAAGCTCTTTCTGCTTTTCTTCTTCCAGTTCTTCACTGGCGGAAGATTATTTCTACTGGAGAAGGTGGAGGGATGTTGTAGGTTGTTCAGAGGAAACTGTTTTGAGATCTTTATAATCTCTTCTAAAGGTGGGCTTATTTCTGAGAAATCTCATGGTCCTGGAAGAAGGAACACCAGTATTTATTTTTTTTTGGGTATCCAATAATGAGAGGCTGGTGAGGGTTCATGTTATGCATATAAGCATGCATATGCCTGAAATGTCCTCAAAAACAAATCACAAAACAAATCCACTTTGCACTGACTCATCTTATAGTTTTGAAGACCGTTCAAAACATTAATTAGTCTCAAAAGAGGAATAAAATAAGTATTGTTGCTGTGGTGCTGCCACACTCTAGGTGGGAAAGCAAAGGCATAAAGAGTAAATGACTCGTTTAAGGCCAGACAAAATGATGGCAAGATTCCTGGATTCTAATCATGGCACTTCTTGCTATGACAAGATGCATCCTCATATTCATTATCTTTTTCATTATCATCCTTTGATAATGAACAGTCCTCTAATTGGCTATGTTATCATTTGGGATGAATCACCATATCACAGCATTCTCAAGTATCAATGAGATCAAACTTTAAAAATCCTTTGCTTTTTTCCCAAGTTTAGTAAGCTCACTGGTGGATGTTTATAAAATAATTATGCACCTTTTGAGTTGCTGAACCACCTACAGAGGGAGAAGACAGACATTAGGAAGCTGACATGGAGTTTGACAGACAGGTTAAATGATGATGTGCACAGGGGATTTCCAGTGTTTGTGTATGAAGGAGGATTTTCAGTATCTGTCACATGCAGTTAGTGTCTCTTCATGTGAACTTGAGAGATTTATTCGCTCTATTTTAGAAGCTTGAGCACAGGCAGGCCATAATCCTTTCCATTTGATGCCATACTGGTCTTTGCTGTCAGAGTTTGGGGATGGGGGAGTCTTGGTAATGAAAAAGGAAGGGAAAAGCAAAGCTAGACTTTAGTTTTGATGCGGTCACCTGAGGGCTCCATGTCCCCTTGGGATTGTGGAGGAAGCTTTGAGTCTGATTCCTTGTGACTACATATATTGGCATGAGCCAGATTTCTGAATCTGTGTGTTCCCAACCCTTCTGTCAGTGAGAGATACTCACCCAGATCTAGGTACCACCAGGTCCTGTGAACCTTCTTGAGCTGCTGAGCTGTTCCCAGGCTGCTTGGATACCAGGAATATCCTAAGCCAACAGAGTTGGCTCAGCCCTGACAGGTACTCTTGAAAAAATCATTCTAGCCCATGCAAGTAGACCAAGTCTCCAGCAGAAAATTAACTTGATGATCTGATTCTAATTAGTTTCTTGATTTAATGGCAGTAATTTTACTTTCAGGATGGTAGTCATTGCCCCAGCTAGCAGGAATAACAGAATTGGTTTCCTTAAAGGCCCATTTGCGATGCATCCTCTGTTGAATCTTAAGCAATAACAAGCAGAAGCCCACAGTTATTTCTAAATGATGGTATTTATATGGTTAAAAGAATCAGCCTATCTTGCCTGAGATCCGTGACTGGGAATTGCCAGTATAAGAAAATGAACACTCATAAAGTTAAAATACAGTTTGAATTTATTCCATTTCATTCCGAGATTATCTTCTTTTTCTTTCATTGCTGATTTAAACACCTGGAAGTTAAAGTCCTCATAAAATTAAAACCAGGCAAACAAAATCTCTAAGGAAATTAAACAGCATGGGATGTGATGTGTTTATACCAGTATAAAGCCAGAATGACTTCACAGAAGATAATTAAATGCAAGGGAAACAAATGGACTGATCTCCTTAATAACTCGATGGGCAGAATTAAAGTCTCACTCTTTCAGTTACCTCAACTTCACATGCTTTCAAAAATTGTACTTAAGCTGTAGAGCTATTAATACTTGTAACCTTAGTTGTTTTCCTTTTAAATCTCTAAGAATGTAGCTCTCCACAGCTAGACTAGAATTGCATTAGGTATCTCCACGTTGCAGTGCTTTTTGAATTGTGGACTTGAGAGCTTTGCAGTCTTTGCTTGAAAATTCCAGCCTGCTGGCAAGTGAATCTCCTGAATCATTGTAAACCTCTGTTCATTTATTATTATCAAAATGCTCATGAAAGAAGTGAGTAGGGCTACCTGGCAGGACTGTGGAGTGAAGTCAGGCATGTCAAGTCTGAATAGGTATGGTGGGAAAAGTGTTTATTTGGTGGAAGGCAGGTTTTTGTCCGCCTGTGATTTGCACAGTCTGTAGGTGAATTCAGCTGGGGAAAGTCACCTACCCAGAAGAACTGTGGGTTTTGGCTGGTCTGTCAGCTCCTTGTCAAGCTTTATTATCTTCTCTAAGAATATATTTACATCTGCCCTTCCTTTGTCCTGCATTAAATGGAATTTTTCATTATTATTTCTTGCACCTATTTACCTTTATAAATTCTTCAAACTAAGGAAAACTTAGACCTATGAGGCCCTGAGCTTTCAAAATCTTCGTTCACAGAGCAGCTGCTGACTCCTGTGATAGATCAACTTTTAAAGAATCTACTGGATTGTTTCTGTATTTTGAAAAGTAATGTACATTTATAGTCCTCTCTCAGTTATGAATAATAATATGGACTCTGATCTGCTGCATACTTATTTATGTATTAAGCTGTATGCATAGATGTAGTCCTTTAGGAATTGATTGTGAAATAAGGGCCACATTCACCCAATATTGTATTTTATGTGTTTATCATTAAATATTCAAAGCAATAATTGTAAAGAATGGAGGGAAGGTGCATTTTTAATGGAGCTTATGATGAAAATATGTAAACTGGGAAAGTGTTACTCTGCAATGTGCTGCTGGTTTTAATAAAAAAATTAAGAGTAAAGATGTATTTTTATTCTATCAGGAACTTCTATTCAAATGCTCTGAAAGATTCACAAATTCTGAACATGTTTATATCATGTACAGCCATACATACATATCATTTGTAAGAGTGAAGAGATTTACTTTTGGCAATGTGCTGTGATAACCAGCTAAAGTGTCTCCAACAATGTATTGCTCTGAAGTGCAGATCAGGAAAAAAAAAAACAAACAACAAAGAACAAATCATAGTCAGAGCAGAGACTAAGATATTAAAACCATAATTCAGCCACAAAGTTGACAGAGTAAGACGAGACAGTGAAACTGGCACCATTAGCATGTAACAGAAGCTGTTCTGTGTGTTTAAATGTACCCTCCCTGAATAAGATTGCTTGTCCTTACAAAAGGATCTTATCATCATTTTGGTCCTTTTGCAGCATCAGGTAACATCAAACACAGGAGTAGGCTTGTCTGAAACCCAGAAGTGTCTGGATAAGGTGACCTTGATCTAGGTTGATATAATGCTAGGAGTTATAGGGGCTTTATTAAAAACTTAAAAGCTAGGCTGTTAGTTAAACTTTATTCTCTTCCCTCCCCAGATAAATGAAATACTGACCAAGTCTCCTTATCTGGCTGGGGTGATGTGCCAGCTCTGGCTCTGGCTGAGAGCCCCCCTCCCTGGGACCTGTTTCATGGGGTACTGATCCAGTCAGCATTGCCCAGTCAAGAACAGGCTGAAGCTGATTTCCACCTGGCCTGTTCCCTGGTGGTCATGCATGTCTTACAACCTTCTAGGCAGATCCTTAGTAACATGGCAGTCATCTCCTACAAATTGCTTCTGCTGCTAGGCTGTTTTAAATAAATACATATTTCCAAACTAGGATTGTAAGGACTGAAGGGTACCTGTCTCTTTCCTGGCTTCATAGCAGCCCTTACTGCAGCTCTGTGATTGTGAAACACTGATTTAGGTTTTCTGTCTTTCCTTTCTTATTTCGTTGATGGTTCATAGTAGTGTTAGTTTAAAGTCATTGTAATGTAAATAATGGTTGTTAGAGGAGTTAAACAAGTTATACGAGTGAGTCATATGATTCATTCAAGCCATACCTTGGGAAACCATCGTGGTGATTGTCCAGACAGACTGTCCCTGTTGGTCTGGTAGCTGCAGCAGGAGACAGGCCATTCCAGAATTGTCTTTGAAGAGCAAATTCACATGACAGCAAAGCATCCTATAGGCTTTGTTCCTCCAAAGAAACTCCTTGACAGAAGAAAGCAAAGCACAAGCAGTGCTGTTAGCCATGGGAGGCTGAGTCTGCCTCCCTTTTTTTATGGATGTATCATAAGGCTGGGAGGGTTCTGTTCAGCAAGATCAGCTGCAACACTTTTTTTCTCTCCCTGATTCATTGAAGAAACCAACCTTGGCTTTCTCAGGTGGCTAAGGCTGTTCAGGTGATGGTCCTGTGCTAGTGTAAGGTCCTCCAGAGCATTGTTACAATGGTGCCATATGGGGATTGTGCTACTGTTAGGGTATTTTTATTTATTGACCAGTGCCACGTAAGAATGTGAGGGTATTTGTTTTTATTATTTGTGCTTGGCACAAACAAAGAATTCTGTGCTCATTGTGATAAACTGAAGCAATATTTTTAAATAACAGATGGACCTGCATTTAGGAAGGGGAGAATTCACTTTGAGCTTTTTGATTCTTCAGACAATGAAGAGAGACAAAAGAGGTTGCTATTCATGATGGTGGGTATGTTTTACAGCACATAGTTGCTGTAAATTTTTTCATCCTGATGATATAAGCTTCCTTTTTAAGCAAAACGTCTATCTAACCCAGCATAGACCCTTGGGAGATTTCAGCCCCTTGCTGGTTGATAATGTGATTGCAGTTGTTTTGCTTTTTTTGTACAGATTACTAAGGTGGCTGAATGTGATATTGAGATTGAGCAGTTGTTATTAAAATTTGTGTTCCTGCAGATATGGGATGGGAATTTTAGTTTAATCACTGCAAGTTACAGTTATGATGTTCAGGTAAAATAATAAGTATTTGCAATTATGTGGCTGGAGCCTCTTCAGAGATTTAAAATTCACCTCAGACTATTCCTTGGTAAAAATTCTTTCCAGTTCTTAACTTGCCTTGGAGGATCCTTCTCTAAAGGAACTCACGTACTTTGAAAGCCCTGTTGTGGTCCCGAGAGAGCTGATGATCTGTGGTAACATAAAGAAGATCTGTGTAACATTTCCAGCCCCTGCTCACCAGTGCAGGTTTCAGCAATACTCTCATATTTGGGATGACATTTTTCCAGGCCACTTTCCTTATTTTTGTCTCCTTTCCTCACCCACATGACACAATGGTTGTACCAAGGCTTCTATTGTGGAGAGCTGGGAAGATGAGGTTCTGTGTATCTTGTCTTGTCAGCATGCAGTGAGTGACATCATAGCAGTAGTTCTCATGGTGTCTGAACAAGTTTGTATCCTATTGTGGAGGGAGCCAAGAAATTCAGAGCTACTCAAACTGTTGCCTAGGGAATACTTTTAGGAGCTCTTACCAAGGGATTTAAAATTATTTTACTTTATAATGTTAATAAGATAAACTGCCTGACAGTATTCATGGGTGGTGATGTGCCCTTTTGCCTGAATAGGGAGTGAATGCAGACAACAAATGGCTTGCCCAGAGTCACTTAGGTGGTAGTTGACAGAGGAAGACACTAGATTGTCAAACTTCAGTTGGCAGTTTGCTCCTGTTGCACTCTGCAGCTACAGAACATGTGATATGGAGGGAGATCTAATTAGATTGCCTGAAAGTAATTTAGTTTAGAGCACTCTGAAAATAATCAGTTTATTACTTGATGTTGAAGAGTTAGGTACAAAAGCTGTGTATACACAGACAGATGTGATACTCAGGCCAGTAGATAACACATGGAGCCTGCAACTCCAGTATTCCCTGCTTCCCTTCCTCTCCAGAGCTGTCCCTGCTCATTGTGTCATTCTGCTGGTAGCAGAGCTTCCCACTGCTGGGCCATGTTCTTGTCTCATGGAAGCTGTGGTATATTTCTCCAGTTCTCCTTTCTGTCCAGTGTCATGTGGCTGAGAGAGCTGATTGTTTTTTTCACTTTCCCTTTGGTCTGTGGAAGGATGCTCTACCTCGTACATGAGATTACACCTGAGCAGAATTATAAATGTTTAAAAAGCACTCAAAATGACTGCCCTCACATCGGGAATTAACACCTCTGGAGATCAAGAATGTAAGCAGCTCCCTCACCCTCAGTAAAATTCAAGGCCATTTTCTTTGCATCACCACAGTGAATGTTAAGATCCCTCCTGTTGACCAGGGGAAAAGGAGACAGACCTAGAGCTACACGTCTCCTGTCTGGGAAGGAGCAGTGAGCACTGTGTATTCTTCAGGTTGGAAGCTTTGTACGCCGGGAGCTCTATAATTCTATTATTATTT